AGCAGATCATCAGGGTCACCTGCAATGGGAAACATACCCATTTATGTCCGTTGAGAAAACAAGTTGTAGTTCTACCCTCCCTCTCTCCCTCCCAAATCTCAGATCTTTGGAACCTTCTCTTCTGCCCTCCTGGGCTCCTTACCTAGCTCATTAGAGACAAAGGCATCAGTCTGCACACGCTCACAGAACTTGTATGTTTCACAGCAGACCAGCACTGGCACATTATGCGCTCGTGCCACCAGGGCCAGCTGCGCTGTCCCTACCCGGGACATCACGGACCCGTTGGCCAGGAGTGCATGAGCTCCCAATAGCACCTTAGAAACCTATTTGTTTTGAACAGTGGAGAGGGGGAGAAAATGTGGCATGTGATTAATGCACCAAAAGGGTCCCCACTCCTGCTCAGGACAGCAATATTAAGACAATAACAGAACTTAATGATGGTTCTTCTTGGAAAACACCTGACCATTGACCCACTGCACCTCCCACAAGAAAATGAAACTCCAAAGTTACTTTTGTCCTGTTTCCTCTTGGTGGCTGCTAGTTTACTGTCCTTACAATAACAACACTGCTAGAACATGCTGCATATTTTTCCTATTAAATACAAACAAGGCTATAAAATTCTGGTATTTTTAAATAATCATAACCTTGGGAAGATAGGATTATGTCTATACCACTACACCCTTTTACATCCAACTCTGGAGTCCCTCTCCTCTGCCCTCACCTCTGGGAGCACATAGGAGGCTGCAGGAATCAGCAGGTAGGATGCAGGGACCCCAGCACGGACCAGAGAACGTAGTGTGTGCCTTCCCTCCAGCTGTGGCCGACTGTCCACCACCACCACCCGAAACCGCAATTCCTTAGCCCAAGCCTCCTGAAGAATTCGTGATACCAGAGATGAGCTGGAGTGAATGGAGACGAGGATTCAGTTATAGATGTCACTAACTGAGAGCCAGCCAGCTCATTACTAAAGAGCAAAAGGGTACTCCCTTCTTCAGATTGTTTCACCCCCTAATTTTCTCAGTCACAGGGTCTGGACCATACCATCCATATACCAGGATCACATCTTCATTATTGATCTTCTTACAAGCAAAGGAGGAAATTGCCTGAGCTGCAAGCACAATCTTCTCTTGCACATACCGATCAATGGCTGTTCGAAGTTCTGATTTGGCCTAAATGGATTAAAATGCTTAGGGAACAAAAAATGGACACATTTCTTCCTCTGATCTTCCTCTGATCATCATACCAGATGCCTGAGTATGCGTACGATGGGCTCAAAGGGGGCTTAATGGGGGCCCAAAGGTGGCACAAGTCAGACAGCCCAACCACTTCCTTAACCCTGGACCAGGGCAGAATGGCCTCATTGTCCCTTCTGGGAGTCCTGAATGTGCTTCTCAGCTGTACCCTCAGGTGCATGCCTTGCTCATTCCTCATATTCATCACCTCCTCCTCCCGCTTGGAGCTGCTCACAGCCGTGATCTCCTTGTTAAGGAACTTGATGGCGTTGTACATGCTTGCTGACAGGGGGCGGCACTGAGCCAGGAAGCTACAAAGACAATACCTCACGTTTGTGGGACTCTACAACTTACGTTTGTGCTTAAAAATGTTTTCTTTAAAAAGAAAACAGAGAACAGAAAAATGAAACAAGAGGTAAAAGAGCAAGAAAAAGGATACAAGAAGAGGACAAGGGGAGGTACGAGCGGACTTCCAGTGGTTGTCTTTACCTGAAGTAGGGCTTTAGTTTATTCACTAGATCCCTTGAGAGTTCTTCATTGGGAGGTGTTGTGTAATCCTGAATCACCTACAGGGTACACACAGTGATCAGCAAAACATCCCTTAATAAAGGTCTCTGAAAGGGGGGGAGGGCAAGTTTCACTGAGCAAAGTGTTCTGAGGGTAGAGTCATTCCCTCTGTCTCCCAGAAATTACTTTGGGTGAGAGGAAGCTGGGGTAGTGTTGGGGAAGGTGGGATTCGGCCACAGAGGGAACAGGACGGGGCATACCTGCTGCAAGGCACGAAGCAGGGCAATACACCGGGCATTGGAGCCACTGACCAGGCCCTGGGAGTACTGCAGGCCGAGTCGCACCATGGCTGGGTGGATCACAGAGGATGGGATGCTGATGGGATGGTGGTGTCACACACTTTGCAAGGGAGCTTGAGCACCTACTGCCCACCTGCCCCTGATGAAAAGGAACTTCCTTCACTAGCACAGACACCCCCCTTTCCTCTAGAGTTTTGCCTTACGTGCAGGCTTCTTCCCACAGACCCCATCTCAAATTTCCAGTCACTTTCAATACTGAGTCACCAAAACTCCTAGAACTTAAATTAAAAGTTATATGACAGTTTCATAGAATCCTACCTCATATACTGAGTCAGAGAGTTTTGTTTGCTGTACTGGGGTAGGTGGGAGAAAAGACTGACTTTGGATCCATAATCGTTTCGCGTAGGAACCTTGACAAAACGGGAACAGGAGCAGTGGAAAGCAAGTAAACAGTGAGGTTACTTTGCCCCAAATTCCCATTATTCTCCAGGGTCTCACTTTGCCTCGATCACCTCACCCTCCCTCCCCCCGCCAACCCCCACCATCCCATCTCCCTTAGGCAATTTCTGGCCACACACTGAAACCACTTCCTACCTGTTGTTGCTCTGGTTTTTTAGCAAGCCTTCTCAGAAGTATGAGGTCATCAACCTGAGTGTGCTCAGGGAGACGCTTCACTCCTAAAAGATAATAACCATGTTTTTAGGACAGTGTAGGTAATAATGAGAAATCTGCTTTTAAAGCATAAGGGACATCAAGAAAAACTGAACAGAGGGGAGGGGAAAAACAGGGGAGAAAAGAATAGAAGAAATAAAGACAGGATGAGGTAGAGGGGAGAATTCTGAGCTCTTGGTCCCAAGGCAAATGGGAAGGGAGAGCTGTTTTACCATGGGGAAGCCTGAGCTAACACAAGAATTAAAATCAAAATAGAAGTCTTGAAATGAAGGGAAAGTACCTGAGGGGGTTTCTCCAGCTGTGCTGGGGCAGGCCCGAGGAGGTGGTCCTCCTTGTTCCCCTTTCCTTGCCTGTTTCAGGGCCCGCTCTGCCTCCTGCTTAGCTCGCCGTTCAGCACGAAGTTCAGCTTTACTTCGACCAGTTGGAACTTTCTCTCCAGCAATAGCCAGCTGACTGCCTAGTCCTGGCAGTTCTTTGGTTGGGCCTACGAAATATAGAAGCGGTGCCCAAACTCCAGGCAGGTAATATCTACCTATGCCCCAGCCAAAGCTTCTCTGCTTATCTAAACTTCCTCGCAGGACGCCTGGGTGGCTCAGTCCCTAAAGCGCCTGCCTTCAGCTCAGGTCATGATCCCAGGATCCTGGGATCAAGCCCCGCATCGGGCTCCTTGCTCAGCAGGAAACCTGCTGCTCTCTCTGCCTGCAGCTCTCCCTACTTGTGCGCTCTTGCTCGCTCTCTGACAAACAAATAAGTAAAATCTTAAACTTTTTCTCTTTTCTCTTGCTCAAACCAACTTTGTCCTGTCTCCTCCTCTTCTCTCCCACACATCCCTCTACCAGTTCCACACCCCAGCCTTTTATAAAAGCCTCCGCACCTTGACACTGGACTGCAGGTACAGCAGAGCCAGTTTCTGGTTCTGCTCCCTTTTCCTCCTTCCGTTTCTTCTTTTGCTGTTTCTTTTCCTTCCGAAGCTGCAGCTTCTCTTCTTGGGTCATCTCCCTCCCTGCTGCCTGAGACACAAACATAGAATACTGCTCTTCCCCAACAATTCCAAAGACGAAAAAACACGACTGGTGCCTTCCAAGATTCCTACAAGGTAAAGCCCCTAATCCTCTCTAACTCTAACCAGCTAGCTGTTACAAGCTTACATCCCATAGAGACCGAAGCTTCTCCTCCAGGATCAGAGTCACATACTGTTAAGGCTGAAAGAATTCTGTAAAATCTGGTTTTCCTGAGAAATAAAGTGAAACGGGGATGGAGGCTGGGGCGGAATGAAGCTGACACAGCCTCCTGCGTAGAGCTTGACAGGCGTTTTGGGAGGGCACCCTCACTTACCCCAGGCCGAGTAGAAAGCTCCGCCTTCATCCCAGACCCCGAGTCTGCATCAGAAAACAGGTCACAAAGTGAGCCAGAGAGGCTCCGGGAGGGTTTGGAGGGGCTCGTACCCGGCGCGGCTGGCTGCTGGATCGGCATGACCACAGCTCCGCCGTCAGGCGGGAGACAAGCCAGGGACCCGCGTGGGGACGCAATGCGCGGCAGGATCAAAAGGAAGGCGGGGGAGGGAGCCGAGCGGGGCCCCCCACCCTTCTCGCCGGAGCCAGCCGGTACGCGCGGCGCGGGGCTGCGCCCCAGGCAGTGCACCCCAGAGTCCGGAGAGGCGCCGGAACGGAACGACAGGACCCAGAGGGACTCAGGGCTCTGCCGCAGCCGTCTGGCGCCCGGCGGCTCGCGTACCTGTGAGTGCGCCCCCGCCCTTCACTCACCCTCACGGACAGCCACAGCCACGGCAGCCATCACCCTCGGTCCTAGGCTCCGCCCGCCGCAGTCCCTGGGCCTACAGCGCCACCTGGGTCGACACCCGCGGCGCGCAGCCCTCCGCGGACTACAATGTCCGACGTGCACTGGGGCTCTGCCCCGGACTACGGGCACCGAGGAGGGCCCTCTCAGCTTTGAGCTCCCAGGCGTGGCAGTCGGCTCTTGCCCTTTAGACTACAGTTCCCAGCATGCCAGGGGGGCTGCGCCCAGAGCGGACGTCCCACCACTCTTTCCACCTCCGATCCCAGCCCCCCACCCCCAAAATGGCGAGTGAGGCAGCGGGGACGCGCTGAGCGGCGGAGGCGAGCGTGTAAAGCCGCTGCGGCCCTGTCAGTCCGGAGCCCAGCTGGGCCCTGCCGCAGGGAACATGCACTTTTCCATTCCTGAAACCGAGTCCCGCAGCGGGGACAGCGGCGGCTCCGCCTACGTGGTGAGGAGCGGCCGGAGCCGGGCCGGGCAGGGGCGGGGATAACGGGCCGGAGCCTTCTCGGAGCGGCCTCCGAGGCCTGGCCGCCACCCTTGGGGCCTGGTCCCAGGCCGCCGATTCCCGACGGCCTCGCTGGGAGCTTATATCCCGTCTCAGATTCGTCCAAAGGTCGCCCAAGCTCCCGCAGGTCCTTTGTTCGCCCGCGTCGTCTCCCTCTGGCTGGGCCGCGGCCGCTCTGGTGGGCGTCACTGGCCTCTTGGGGAGGGAGACTGCGGCGTGAGCGCCCGAGTTGCCCCCGGCTGATCCTTCTGCTTTAGGACCTGGCCCTGGGGAAAACAGACTAATAAACCCTCGGACGATCTCGGTGCGTTACTCAGGCGGAGCTTGTGCCAGACGACTTCTGGCCAGGGTTTTCAAGGGGGTCGCCCAGATCGCGACCCTATAATGCCTGCTTTTGTGTCTTCAGGCCTATAACATTCACGTGAATGGAGTCCTGCATTGCCGGGTGCGCTACAGCCAGCTTCTGGGCCTGCACGAGCAGGTGGGACCAGCACCCCTTGAGGCAGCTTTCCTACATCTTTCCTACACCTGGGCATCAGTGTCTCCATTTTTCCCCTCTTGGCTTCCTCGTAGATTGTGTAGTTTCCCTTTAATCACTGCCACTGGGGAGGATCTGGTACTTTGTCTTATCGAGTGACATTTCTGGGGAACTCCCTAAGAAGCTTACTGCCTGTGGCTCTAACTGCTCATCTTTATACTCACATCCGCCTTTTTGCTTCCCTGTCCCCAGTCTTATTTCAGCCTTTGCCTGTGCATGGAAAAACCGACCTCCCCCCTCTGCTGCCAAAGCACATTTTTTTCTGTCATCTGAGCTGCAACTTGAAATTCTTTTCCCTTCTCAGACAACTCATTCACCTTTCAGTGGGCCTACCTATTCAGTTATCCTTATGTATCTCTGATGCAATGTTTCTATGTTCTCCTGACCAGGTTGCAAGGTCTCTTCAACTCAGTACAGAGTCCTGGTTCTACTGATAACTAGCTGTGCAACCCTGAGCAGTTACCTAATTTCTTTGGGCCTTAGTTTCTAAGACTAAGAAAAATGTATTTGTTGATCTGCAAAGTCCCTTTAAGTCTTAACCCATTTTTTGAATGTATTTAGCTGTACTTAACTGGGAACATAAATTTTCCTTATAAAGTTCTTTGCTTCTGGTGAGGGTTCAATGGACACAGTCTTGCTAAATAATCAAAGGATTCCCTAGGCCCTGGCCCTATACAAACCTTAGCCACACTGTGAAGGGGCTGACTTGTACATAGTAAGATAGGAAAGAACTTATATTTAGGACAGAGGAACAGCTCCACTGGTATGCTACCTCTGCCAAAGGAATGATTTCCTGGATAACCAGGGTAGATTGCAGGGCGGGGAGGGGGGGAGCTGAGGGAAGAGAAGGGGAACCCAAGAGAACTCCCATTGTGAGTGTGGATTGCCTCTTCTCATTTGCTATGTTTTATATGAAGGGTTGTATCTCTTTCTCCACATAGCTTCGGAAGGAGTATGGGGCCAATGTTCTTCCTGCATTTCCCCCAAAGAAGCTTTTCTCTCTGACACCTGCTGAGGTAGAACAGAGGAGAGAGCAGTTAGAGAAGTACATGCAAGCTGGTGAGTGGTTGGAGGGAACTTTAGGCTGTGTTGAGAGCTATGGGAAGAGACTCAAAGCAGTTGGTTCTGTAGACTGGCCTGAATTAATTTCTACATCTGGGGAGCCTCTTGTTTGATCTGTTATTTAATTAGGAAAAAAAGTTGCAAGAGTTTGAGCTGCTCTAGGTATCAGCAAAGCAATTTGGTCAATATACTAATACAGTTTGGAAATACCAGTGTAACACTACATAGTCTTAAAGCAGTTTAGATTGGTGGGGAGAACTTAATTTGTATCTGACGTGCTTTAGATTAACATCATTGTTATTTCCCTAGTTCTGTAGACTGAACTCAACTAGATGGCAGCCATGGGTGGGGCAGGTGAAGAATATATGCAAACATTGAGTGAGGTGAGGCCAGCTGGGGGATATGACAGGCCATCATCAGCCCAGGAAGTGGGGTAGGGGGGGAACCTACCAAGAACAGAACGGGGGGAAGTCCAGAGGGAGTCCTAAGTTACTGGAATAGTGTTCTCTTGTCCCCACAGTTCGGCAAGACCCGCTGCTTGGGAGCAGTGAGACCTTCAATAGCTTCCTGCGTCGGGCACAACAGGTAAGGCTCTGGGTGGGAACGAGATTTAAGGGAAGGACTTTCCTGTAGGGCCATGTCATTTTAAGGCAGTGGCTACGGAAGAGTCATCCTGGTACCTTTTTTTATGGGAAGCGGCTTCTGCTGTACCAGTGAAATCAAGGAAACCCAGCCTGTAATTAAGCAATTGCAAATAAAGACACCAGAAGGACCTAGAAATAGAGAGTTGGGGATGGGTCAGAGCTGGACGCTGGGCAGGTGTTGACAAGGCAGTGCCTCCATTCTCATGTATGTTCACACCAGGAGACACAGCAGGTCCCCACCGAGGAGGTTTCCTTGGAAGTGCTGCTCAGCAATGGGCAGAAAGTTCTGGTCAATGTGCTAACTTCAGATCAGACTGAAGATGTCCTAGAGGTGAGGCACTTGTACTTCACTGCCCCACCTCCCCCGCACCCCAGGGTCCCAGGTTTGGGGGTGATTGGAACCAGTCAGTATGATGAGCTGTACTTGCTTCCCTATTCCCAGGCTGTGGCTGCAAAGCTGGATCTTCCAGATGACTTGATCGGATACTTTAGTCTCTTTCTAGTTCGAGAAAAAGAGGATGGAACCTTTTCTTGTGAGTTTCTGTGGACGTGACTGTTTCCCTGTTCTTCTAGTAGTGAATTTGTCCCGCTAATTCTTCCCCAAATCTGCCATTTCCTCAGTGCTCCTCTCCTGACTTTTCCCCCCAATTGAGTCTTATGACCTTTCCTTTTTTTTTTTTTTCTTTAACCCATAGTTGTACGGAAGTTGCAAGAGTTTGAGCTGCCTTATGTATCTGTTACCAGTCTTCGGAGTCAAGAGTATAAGATTGTGCTAAGGAAGAGGTCAGGGCTGGGCTTGGAGGAGGGGGAGGGTGCTGGATTGATTACTGGGCCATGTGCTGAGACAGAATAACCTTGACAAGGGGGTAGCGCTGGGTGTTTCTACCAGGCCTCCCAAGCTTCCTCCCACTATACCACCGTATTTGCCCGATAGTTCCAGATTGCTGTTTTCTATTCCACCTCTCTTGCCTTACCCCAGCTTAGCCCCATTACCCCTTTCCACCCCTTGGCCTCACAGTTATTGGGACTCTGCCTATGATGACGATGTCATGGAGAACCGGGTTGGCCTGAACCTGCTTTATGCTCAGGTGAGCTTGGAGCTGCCTCAGAACCCTTCCCCTGAAGTAGATACTGGTGTCCCACTCTGCCAAGGAAACTCTTCATGTCTTTACACCCAGTTCACGGGAAAGTTCCTAGAATACTAGCAGGGCACCTGGCACTGTCCCTACTTTGTAAGCTGATTTAGTCAAGGATTCATTGCAAAGAGGTTGCTCAAGCGTGGGGCTAAGGGTCAGGCTGGACAGAGGTAACTGGACACTTTCCTTGGACCTCTGATTGGAAGCACCAAACCCCCCACCCCTTGTCTCTACCTTAGACAGTATCAGACATTGAGCGTGGGTGGATTCTGGTCACCAAGGAGCAGCACCGGCAGCTCAAATCTCTGCAAGAGAAGGTCTCCAAGAAGGAGGTGAGCCTGCTTCCCTGTCTCCTTCCAAGGGTTGTTTTCTGACTCACCCCACTTCCTCTCCTGACCCACCCCACGTGGTGACTGGGTTTCAGTTCCTGCGGCTGGCACAGACACTGCGGCACTATGGCTACTTGCGCTTTGATGCCTGTGTGGCTGACTTCCCAGAGAAGGACTGTCCCGTGGTGGTGAGCGCAGGCAACAGTGAGCTCAGCCTCCAGCTCCGCCTGCCCGGCCAGCAGCTCCGCGAAGGCTCCTTCCGGGTCACCCGCATGCGGTGCTGGCGGGTCACCTCCTCTGTGAGTTGGGGTAGGCCTTTGGGATAGTGGCCTGGCAAGCCTTGAGCTTCAGGAATGGGCTGCAGTAGATCAAGGAGGGAGGCAGATTGGCCGGAACAATCTCAGCCTGACTCTCCTTTCTCTATCAGGTGCCACTGCCCAGTGGAGGCACAAGCAGCCCAGGCCGGGGCCGGGGTGAGGTGCACCTGGAACTGGCTTTTGAATACCTCATGAGCAAGGACCGGCTACAGTGGGTCACCATCACCAGCCCCCAGGTGTGAGCCCACCCTCAGGCCTCCTCTGGAGCCCATTGCACCGTCTCTTAGATACCCAAGTCTAGGGCTTCCAGGACTCCATGTGAGTGGGAGCCCTTGCCTTAGGGGTGTTGGGCTCAGGATGACCACTCTGGTCAGGCTGAGCTCTCTTCTTGCCCTCAGGCTATCATGATGAGTATCTGCTTGCAGTCCATGGTAGATGAACTGATGGTGAAGAAATCTGGTGGCAGCATCAGGAAGGTAAGCAACAGGTGTGGACCAAGCAGCTGAGTGGTTGTGCTCTCCCTGCCTCTTGTCCTAAGTGTGAAGCTTCTCCCAAGAGAGAGGGGAAGTGGTGGGGATTGCAAAGGGATCCTGCTCTTATCAGCACTTCACGTCTCCATCCCTAGATGCTGCGCCGGCGAGTGGGGGGCACCCTGAGACGCTCAGACAGCCAGCAAGCAGTGAAGTCCCCACCCCTGCTTGTAGGTATCACTTTCTGATCAGTACCCCAGCTGCCAGCCTTGCCTTTAACTCCCCCAGTGAGGTCTCTGACACCTCTGCCTCCTCTTCCCCAGGAGTCACCCGATGCCAGCCGGGAGTCCACGGTCAAACTCTCAGTGAGTTTCCCATGAGGGTTGGTGAGGTTGGCATGGGTAGGGGGATCTCAGGGAGGCCCAAGCCCTCTGACCCCAACCCTGCCTTTGTTACAGAGCAAGCTGAGTGCCGTGAGCTTGCGGGGGATTGGCAGTCCCAGCACAGATGCCAGTGCCAGTGACGTCCACGGCAATTTTGCCTTCGAGGGCATTGGAGATGAGGATCTGTGATCTCCAGTGCTCAGATGTCTGCCCTCTACCCCAGAGGAATGTTCAGAAACTTGCCCTGTGCCTCTATCCCCCAAGCCAGGGGGGTTTTTTTCCTTCCTTCCTTCCTTCCTTCCTTCCCCTTTCTTCTCTTGGCCAGGGGCTTCCTAACCCACCTTCCCTTCCACCCCCTGGGCTGGCTGCACAAAGGATTGTTCTCTCTTTTCAGAGCTGGCCCTCAATGCCAAATTAGCATTTAGTATTTTGCACAAAGTCCAAGGGACCATGGCTACCTGCCTTGGGGAGGAAACACAGCTTCCCCTGCGGCTGCTTCTGGCTTCTCGGGGCCATGGGCCAAGGGGATGGGCAGAGGTCTGTGTATGGTCTGGCCCAGCTCCCCGTCATTAAACTCAGCCTGATTGCTGCCTACCTCTGTTTCCCTTCACTGCCCCGGCTCCCCCCCATCACAGCACAGACTGCTGTGCTAAGGGTGAGGTGGAGCTGTGCTTGCCACTGCCAACTCAGCATAGACATGGCTTTGTTAGTGTTTCCTTTATTATAAAGCACTGAAATAAGTTAAATAAACAGGTGGGAGGCTGGGCAATCCCCCAGCCAGTTCCTCTACTGCCCCTGGGAGCAGTGGAGGTGAATGCAGGGCCCTTCTCACTGAGCTCATGAAGTGCCTCAGTCAAGGAAGGCCCCCTGGTCCATATGGGCCCCTCGCCCATGGGGTTTGGGCTGGTCCATATAGTGCCTAGGTTAGTCTGTGGAGCCCCTGGCCAGCGGGGGAGGAAGTAGAAGGTGGCTTCCGGTCCATCTGTATAAAAGGTACAGGAGAGGCAGGGCTAATCCACAGGGCCCTGAGGGAGAAGGACCTGGTTCAGGGCGAGTCCGTGTGGAGAGCCCGGCTACCAGCAGCACTCAAAGCTGTCGGGCCCCGAGAGCTCAACACAGAGGAGGGGCTGTGAGGTGGGGCCCAGCCCTCGGAGGCCGAGAGGCCAGGCCCTCCTGCCCCACCATGGCCGTGCACCTTCTGGTGGCGTTTGTAGTTGTCCCAGTGGCCCGTGGTGTAGGCGCAGGTGGCACAGCGGAAGGGCTTCTCGCCTGTGTGCCGCAGCATGTGGCGTTTGAGGTTCATGCTCTGATTGCAGCTGTAGTTGCAAAGGCTACACCGAAAAGGTTTGTCCCCAGAGTGGATGCGACCATGACGCTTGAGGTTGGCCAGGTTGCCACAGGCATAGGGGCAGAGGGGGCACTTGTAGGGCTTCTCTCCTGTGTGGACGCGCTGGTGCCGTTTCAGGTTATCCAGATGAGCAGAGGCATAGGGACAGCGGGCGCAGCGAAAGGGCTTCTCGCCACTGTGTGTCTTCATGTGCCGGGCCAGGTGGTTGGGATAGTGAGTGGCAAAGGGGCAGAGGCTACAGGCAAAGCCTTTGTCACTGGGGCCCTGGGGCCCCCCACTGGCACCCCCTCCAGCCTCTCCTCGCATGCAGCGCCCACACATGGCGGCTCCCAGCCGGCTACCCTCCCCCTCCTCCAGCTCCTGTCCACAGTTGCGGCAGGTCCAAGGGAACAGCAGCTCTGGCAGTGGTTCTGATCCAGTCCCACAGAGGCCCTCCCCGTCACCCCGCAGCTGCCCACAGTCCGGCAGGAAACTGGCACCACCTGGTGGCACATGGAGGCTCAAGTCCGGAAGCAGCAGAGCATCTGTGGGGACAGTGAGACCTGAGCTATGAATCCCAAGTATCCCTAGGGCCACCCACCCACGGCCCAGGTTCTTTTGGGTTTTGGCTTTTTACCTTCAGGTCGCCGGGGCACCGCCCCCTCCTGCTCTGTGGGACTGGGAGGCCGGGTGGGACGTGGAGCGCAGCAGCGGAAGCCACAGGTCGGGCAGGGAGGAGTGGGGGGCCCCGCGTGGGTGCGCTGATGCCGCCTCAGGTTGCCCAGGCTGCTGCAGGCAAAGGGGCAGTGGGGACAGCGGTAGGGCTTCTCGCCAGTGTGGGTGCGGGTATGTCGCGTCAGGTTGACGAGCTGGGCTGAGGCGTAGGGGCAGCGGCCACAGCGGAACGGCTTCTCCCCGCTGTGTGTCTGCATGTGCCGCTTCAGGTGGCTCGAGTAGTGGGACACGAAGGCGCAGAGGCGGCATGAGTATAGTAGCCGTGGGGGCAGCGGGGGCCCCCCACCCGGCCCTCCTGCCCCACAACACGGCCCCTCACCTGTCGGCCCCCCACACAGCTGGCAGGCTGGGCCTGGCCTCTCACCCCTGGCCTCCCCTGGACCCCTGGCTGGTTCCTCAACTTCACTCTCGGCACTTAGTGGCCGGCCGCCCCCAGACTCGTCATCACTCAGCCCGTAGGGAAGCCCAGGCCTGGCCCCCAGAGAGTCTCCTGGTAAGACAGACATGAGAAGAGACATCAACATGGGGTAGGACCAGGCTCCAAACTCGCTTAGTGGTATCTCCCCTCCCCTTACTTGGCTCCACCCTTCACTTCAGTGATCCTAAAAATTCAGTATGAATTATCTGCTTCTGAGTCTGTACTAACCTAGTGATGACAGCTGTACCTAATTCCACTGCATGGAAAAAGATCAAAGGCTCACAGTGGACCACAGGCTTAAATGAACCAATAATGTAATTAGCGGTTTCTTGGAATAAGAAAGTTAAGTAAAAATACACAAGGCAGAGGCCTGAGACCTTATTCTAAGCTCTATGTTAGTAAGGTCCTTTTTAGTACAGAGCTGATTAGAAAATAAAAACTATGTCAAGAGTGAGGCAAAATCTGGAGTGAAGTGGATACAAAGTAATGTGCCTAAAAGACGTATTTTCTTTTACATGGATTCCCTCAATGATTTTCAAAAACATCCTTTTATAGGTGGCATAAGTTGGTAGGTGGTGCAGCAAATTAGGATGGGGTGATGTTTTGATTGACAGGGAAAAGGAATGTGCAAGAATACTTGCGGGGAGGGACCAAAACCTCAATAGGAAAGGGTTTATGCTGCAGGTGAAAGGGTAGTTAGATTAGGCATAACTTAATTTGAATTAGAAATTGTTTCCTTGAACCTCTTAAACTTCACATAAGGAATGTGCTAGGCAGGAGAACAAGGTTATTAAAAGGGCATTAACTTTTAACCAGTTGCTCCATGTGATTCATCCACTGTCCTGTTCATACCACCTTCGGACCAGGCCCCAGAACTTCACTTCAACGAAGTGATGGAGCTCATTGGACCATTAGGCAAGTGAAAAAATCCAGCTCAAATCTAAATAAAATCATCCCTAGGTTGTGGCACTGTTTCGTGTTTTGCTCACTGGCACTAAACCCTAACCCGCCTCCTGAAGGGCTGAGGTTCCAGGAGCCACTAATCCTTGATCAAGTCCCTCAAACCCACCTTCAGAGTCTCTCTCGAAGCCCATGAGCTGGTCGCTGTTGCCGTCACCTTCCTCCTCTTCCTCTTCCTCTTCCTCCTCAAACTCCAGATCCTGGCCTAGTAGCAAATCACTCTCCAATACCAGGGCCCCGGGTCCTTCGTCGAGGGAGTCTTCGGTATCCACTGAAGAGGGGAGGGGGCTTGTAGATTCTCCCTCAGGAACCGTGCCCATCATCCGCACCCCGGGAGCTAGCCCTCGCAGCCCGTACTTCCCGAACTCGCAGACCCTCTCGGGTTCCCTTAGTACCTCGGTAGGAAGCTAGGAGTCCAGATCGCCCACCCCATCCCTCAGGAGTCCCCCTCCACCCCGACCTGAACCCACTCCACTGACCCCACCCCCGCTCCTCCCCCCTCGCGGCCCCTGACCCCTGACCTTTGACCCCCTCGCATTTCACGGGCTGCGGGTGGCTCTGCTTCCTTCGGGGCATCGTGACCGGCTCCAGCCCGCCGCGCCTCCGGCCTGCGGCCGCCCGGCCCCGCCCCTCCTAATCCGGCCTGCCCGCCCGCCCTTCCTCTCAGGGCCCGCGGGCCGCCTCCATGCAGCGGCGCGGGCCCCGGGCAGCCCCCGGCCCTGGCCCCGGCGCCCAGCTCAGGCCGCTCCCGCCGCCGCCGCCGCCGCGTCCATTCATGGAGCCCCCTACCCCCCCCCTACGGAGACCAGCTGGTACCTCCGTCCTCGCTTCCGCTTCCGCTGCCGCAGAGCCACACGGGACGCGTAGTCTGGGGACAGCAAAAGCGGCGAAAACGTCCAGAGCGTGACCAGGAAGTGATTGTGACGAAAGGAAGCGGGCGAGCCAATCAGAGACTAGACAGAAACCAGGCGGGTGAGGAGGGCAGGAGAAGGCCTGGCCCTGCTTTCAGTCTTAGGAGCCGCCCAGCGGGTCCTTACCCCTACCTAGAGGAACTAGGAAACTATTCCTGATCCCGGAGGGGGAGGGGGGAGGATGAGCCGCGACGCTGGGCCACGTTGCCCAGCAGCTCGGGGAACTGCAATACCTGGGCCCCCTCTGCCCTACACATGCATGGCGAGCGCGCGCGCGCACACACACACGCACACAAGTGCGCTGAGGGGCTTGGTAGGCGCCACCAAAGAGGTCAAGTCTGGGGCCAGAGAATTCTCGGGGGGCCGGACAGGACAGCATTATTGAAAAAAGGACACCATTGGCACAATTAGGTTTTGGCCTTTAGTCTGAAAAAGTGTTGATTGAAAGTGTACAACAGAGAGCGGGTGCAAGCGGCTGGGGGCCATGGAGCCGCCAATAAAAAAGAATGTCCTTAAATAAAGTTCACAGAGTAAAAACCAGAACCGCCAGTCTTCCCTCCAACACAACAGAGCACAGGCACAGAACCGGTGATGAGCCCCAAGGAGCAAGGAGGAGGCTGGGGAAGACAGCAGAGGCTCCCAGGCTGCTGTGTGGAGGGAGAGCCCTCTTTGGAATGGGCTGAGTAAAGCCACCCAGCTCCCCCTGCACACCTCATAACCACTGCTAAGGCTAAAGGAAAAAGACAAAACTCAGTCTCAGGTCCAGAGGGCTCAGAAAACAGTCTAGGTGGGCAGGGGTCTGGACAACCATTAGTCCCGCTTGGCCTTCTTCTTATTGTCACTGTTGCCATTTTCTTCAGCCCCCTCAGAAGAGAGCACCTCCTCCAGTTTCCGCTTGCCACTCTCTGGCTGAAGCTCTGCTGTGTTTCGGGGCTTGAAGCAAATGATGATGCAGGTCATGTTGTCACACCCTGTACCGTCCCCAGAAGTGTCTGGTGCCAGGCACTGATCCAGCAGCTACAAAAGGGACAAGGTAGGTAGCTCAGCTTCAGGGTTTGAACACCTTCCTAGGAACCTAAACTCCCAGAAGAGGGCTGACCCTGCTGAGACAGTGGCAGAAGGAGGGGAACAGGCAACAGACGTCACAGAACAGCCCGCTTGCTAGTGCATAAGGCATGAGAATAAGGCAGGGAAATGAAGGAAATGGAACTTTCTAGTCAGGTTTGGCATCTATCAGTAATTA